GATCGAGCCCCGCATCGGGCTCCCTGCTCCGCGGGAAGCCTGCTTCTCCCTCTCCCACTCCCCCTGCTTGTGTTTCCTCTCTCACTGTGTCTCTGCCAAATAAATAAATAAAATCTTAGGAAAAAAAAAAAAAGGTGAGAAAGCGGAAACTCAGGCCACGGGAGTGGTCCAAGTTCACCCAGCTAAGTGGGCAACGGTACCAACATTCAAGGCCTGAGCAGTCCGGCCTTGGACCCTGCCCTCCCCTACTGCTTCTCCTATTCTTACGGCCACAAAGAAGCTAGGGCCTGGCAGGGAACTCGAATGGGCTCAGAGGACCACAGACTTTTGAGAGTAAGAGGCTCCCCGAGGGTGTGCGGGGGTGGGATCCGCAGCCCGCTGTCCCGGCTCGGCTCTCTGGCCTGGCTGCTGGAGGTCCACCTCCTTGGGGCATAAGAGACTGCGAGCTGCAGCTGGAGTCACGGGTCATCCGCAGACCCTGGGATCGCTCTGCCCCAGGGGACTGGCCGAAAATCGCGGGGTTGGCCGGGCGGATGGGGCCTCGGCTACTCTTCCGCCGTCCGCATCTCAGACCAGCAGGCCCAGCCCTTGATGAGGTCCTCCCTGTTTCTTACAGGAGCTGGCCTGGTTTTCATCTTGTACCCAGAAGCCATTTCCACCCTGTCGGGATCCACATTCTGGGCCGTCGTGTTCTTCATCATGCTCCTGGCTCTGGGAATTGACAGCTCAGTGAGTGACCTGCTGGGGAGACCACGCCACACACACTGGGGGGCGGTGGGCGGGGGACACTGAGCCCGACCCTCCCCACCTCCCAACGACTCAACCTGAAGTACCCACCTGATTGCTAGGCATTTCCAAGAAGCCCTAATTAAAGGCAGACAAGGAATTGAGTTCCTCTAGGCCTAGGCTAAGGACCAGTAGAAACCCCAATGGCATCACAGAAATCCATTCCAGAAGCTGCTATCAGATGAGCCGGCCCAGGCCCTCCTCTGGCACCTAGGGAAACGGAACTCAAGGAGCACGTGGGTAGAACATTTCTTCTCTCACCAAGCACTCTTCCCATTGGAGTTCATCACCAACAACCAGCGAAAACACTCGGAGTCCCATTGGTTTCTTAGAACCTTTTGTTTTACCCGTAGGCAAGATTAGATTTACCGACCTCTTTAGGTCTATGCCCACCTTTGGTACGTCACGCCCGGAAGTTTGCCAGGAGTCTCGGGCTAGGGCTGGCGAATGAGGGTCCTCTTGGTGCCTCTTCCTTTCAGTCGGTAGATCTGCCAGGAGCAGTGTGTTGAGAAGGATCCTGAGGCCGCTTCCAGGCTCACAGGAAGGAATCCCAATCCGTGGTTAACACCATCTGCAGGGGGTACAGGGGCAGGTATAGGGAGAGACTGGGGGCGTGCGTGCTTCTCGCCTGCCACCCCAGGCTTGGGGTGTCGCTTAAGTAAGCACATGATTAGTACTCACGGGAGACCGTTTCAGACTCTGAGAGGCTGGCGTGGGCGGTGACCCCTTGCTTGACAGTTGGAAAGGCAACCAGAAATCCTTGTCAGAAACTGTTGCCTGAAGTTCCCACCGCTAGCAGCTCTGCTCTGGGAGTGGTTTCCAGAAAGCCTTTTATTTATATGCAAATAGACGACATCCCAGAGTGTTTGGCTTTACCCCCTGCACTCTCCTGGGCTCATGGGTCCCCTGCTCAGGGACAGTAGACTAGGACCTGTTGACCAGAGGGGGGCAGAAGTTACCTCTTCAGCCTCTCCCACGTAGTTCTGAGTGGGGTTGAGAGCAGGGCAGAGTGGGGTGAAGATGAGGAGGAAGGCGAGGCCGCCACACCAGGGTGCCCCAGTCCCCCCACCGCACCCCAGGCTCCGGGAGGTCCGAGGGAGCCTGGGGCCTGAGACTCCACTGCGGGCCATCCCTCCTACCTGCTCCTCACTCTGCCTGGCTCCGTCCAGATGGGAGGCATGGAGGCCGTCATCACGGGCCTGGCGGACGACTTCCAGATCCTGAAGAGACACCGGAAGCTCTTCACATTTGGTGTCACCTTTGGAACCTTCCTTCTGGCCCTGTTTTGCATAACCAAGGTGAGGAGGAGCTGGGCTCTGGGTCACCTGGAGCTCGTGGGGCTGCATTTCAATCCAATCCGGTCAGGAACTCCCAGCCTTGGAGCTGGGGTGGGGTGGGGTGGGGTTGGGGGGGCTAGGGTAAGCTCAGGGCAAACCACAAGGGGACCTGCATCCTCAGCCCTGTGGCCTGATCCACCCCCCCCAGGGCGACCCCCCGGTGTCCCCAGTGTCCCACCTCTGAGCCTGAGGAATTCCAGGCAACTCTTTGAAACTGCTGATTTATTTGAGGGGCAGCCAAAGTCCCTTTGAAAGCCAGCTCACTTGTTCCTGGCTGAGAGACCCACCCTCAGTCCTTCGGGAGAATGCAGATAGGTGACATCAGACAATAGCACCAGGACCCCGACACCCGGCTTCTCAGGCAGGGTTCTGAGCCAGGGGCACAGGGGACAGGGGCGCCGGGACGGATATGACAGTCGGTGGCCATTTCTGGGCAGGATGGCCTCAGGCTTTCTTTCTCCACGCCCAGGGTGGGATGTACGTGCTGACCCTGCTGGACACCTTTGCGGCGGGGACTTCCATTCTGTTTGCTGTGCTCATGGAAGCCATCGGCGTCTCCTGGTTCTACGGTACGTGGGGGGCCCTGAACGTGTAGAAAAGCCTCGGTCACCGCCTGGACGTGCAAAGGGCTCTCCATTTGCAGGACAGCCACTGCTGACCCCAGGGTGGAGCAGGTGGCTTCTTGGGCACAGCTCCCCCCACCCGCCAGCTCATCTTTGCCTTTGAACAGAAAGCTGCAAAGACCCCCCCCAGGGCTGCCCAGGGCCAGCTTTTAGCGAGGAACGCAGAGGAAGCTGCGGATCCCGCAAGCCATAAAATTCCTTCTAAACTAGGGTGGCCACAGGTAGCAAATAGAATCCAAGACGCCCAGTTACACTTGAACTTCAGATAAACAATGAGTAATTGTTTTAGTATAAGTATGTTCCAAATACGGGATGCAGTTTTAGGTCAACTAAAACTGTCTCCATTGTCTCTCCGAAACTCTGTCTGAAACTCAGATGGAACCAGGTAGCTCACGTTCTCTCTGGCAGCCTTATTCTGGAGCTGGACGGGGAGAAGGTGCCACAGATTGTCACCTGTGTTCCGACTGTTCCTTTCTTTCCCCACGAGTCACATCAAAGAGTTGACCAGGGTGGGGCTGGACGATCCTGCACAGTGACGTCACCTGGGGCAGGTCCCCTCTGCTCCTGGGGCACTAAAAGGCCGTACTATGTATTTTTTAAAAGTTTTCACCGAAGCGTAGCCAACATGCAGCGTTGTATTAGCCTCAGGTGTCCAACATAGCAGTCGGACGCTCTGTACCTTCCTCGGGGCTCTCCACCACGGCGTTGTCACCACCGGTCACTGAGCAGCGTCCCTGCTATAATGTCCCTTATCCTCCCTGCGCTCCATGACTTATTTATTTAAAAGCTGGAAGTGTGTCCCTCTTACGCTCCTTGCTTGGTCTCTCGCATCCCCCTGCCCGGCTCCCCTCCGGCCACCGCCCGTACGTTCTGTGTATTGAAGAGTCTGGTTTTTCGTTTCTCTCTTTTTTGCTTTGTTCCTTTGGTTTGTTTTTTGAGATCCGGCAGGTAAGAGAAGTGGTATTTGTCTCTCTGAGACTGCCTGACTTCACTCAGCACGGTGCCCTCTAGGTCCATCCGTGCGTCACACACAGCACCTACTGGGCGTGTCTTCTGCACCAGCCACGTGCCCACGCCCGGGTCTCCCGAGTGCCACGGTGCCCACGGCTAGCCTCACTGTGCCGCCCCCCGTCCCGGGGCCTGACCCTCAGGGGAGGGCCGCAGGGGGGCGGCCGGGGGCTCTTCGGGGGCCCGTGTGATCGGCCTGCCCTGTGCGTGCCCAGGTGTGGACAGGTTCAGCAACGACATCCAACAGATGATGGGGTTCAAGCCGGGCCTCTACTGGAGACTGTGCTGGAAGTTTGTCAGCCCCGCCTTCCTCCTGGTGTGTACGGCCTGGCCGGGGCTTCCTGGGACGGGGTGGCCGGGGGCGGGGTGGGGTGCATGGGCTCATGCAGACATGCAGACGGGGTGCTGGGATGCCCAGCATTGCTCATAGCACGGGAGGCTTCCACCGTGGCGGGTCTTCAGCTGGGGCCGGGTCCCCAGGGGGCTGTGCGTCACCTTCCCGTGCCTCTTCTCTGTCTCTTGCCCCTTCTGTCTCCTTTGGGCCATCGTTGGCTTCTTGAATGCTTCCTCCTTCTCTCCCTCCTCTTCCCTTTCTTCTCTCCTTCCTCCTTTTCCGCGTTCCCTGTGACCCCTCGCTTCCCGTGGGTCTGCTGCTGCCTCCCTCCCACCCGCTCCCCTCCGGCCCCTCCCCGGCTCTCTCTTCCTTTGGTCCCCGTGGCGTCCCCGCAGTTTGTGGTGGTGGTGAGCGTCGTCAACTTCAAGCCGCTCAACTATGACGACTACGTCTTCCCGCTCTGGGCCAACTGGGTCGGGTGGGGCATCGCGCTCTCCTCCATGGTGCTCGTGCCCACCTACAGCATCTACAAGTTCTTCAGCATACGGGGCTCCCTCCGGGAGGTGAGCTCGGGGTGCGGGCCGGGCTGGGGGGGCAGGATGGCGGGGCGTCTCCGGGCGTCCCTGATGAGCCCGGAGAGGGCAGACACGAGGGCTGGACCCCAGAGCCACCGCGATGGCCAAGTCATCACCACGCCCCGGCCCGCGTGTTCACATTTAACCGCGTGGACCTTGGCAAGGTCAAGGGCACGCTTCGCACGGTGCCGGGTACAAAGGAGGCGGTCGGCGCACGCCTCCTGCTGTCGGGTCCGCGGCGCACGCGTCCGTCCCTGCTGTTACTGTGTGGGGAGGGGACCCTCAGCCCTGCGTCCCCTTCTGAGGTCTGTCATGCCCCGGATGTCCCCATCTCCCAGTCGGCGCTCCCCGTGACCTGGCCACCTCAGCTCTTGCCTGCCTCTTTCCCGAAACCCTACACCCACCAGCCTAAACCAGAGATTTCCGGAATTCATCCTCTTCTTTTACTCGTGTGCGCTGTGTGTGCAGATACACGGAGAAGGGCTCAGGAAACGGTGCGTTTCCTCTGAAATGATGTCTGTCCTGTTTGGTTATTCAAAGGCCCTTTCCTTTATAAATCATGGCGACAGTCTCTGCCTCGTGTCCTTACTTTGCAAGATGCAGCTTCCATTCCTTCGCCCCGTGGCGCCCTCGCTCCCTAGCTGCTGGCTGGGAGCGTGCCTGGCCCCTGGGCCCTAGACGGAGCTCCCCAGGGCTCACATTCTAACCCGGGGACAGACAGACAAAGGAGGATGGCGGGAAGTGAGCCATACAGGGACTTAGGGAAGAGGGTCCCAGGCAGGGTTGTGTCTGCCCCCTTCCCCAGGTCCTTGTGACACGTTTCCTGTCCTTGAAATCCCACATCCCGGAGCCTCTGGGTCACCGAGAGGACCTGTGTTCCGTGCGCTCATCCTGGATCTGCTGGGAGCTCTTTATTTTTCACGCTTTGAGAGCAGGGAGAGCTCCCCACTGTGTAGTGATCCCTCATTGGCCCCAGTGCATCCCCCGAGTCCCCGGCCTGTGTCTGCACCGCAGGGAGGCCTGCCCTGACACCGCGCTCCCCCCCTCCGGCCCTGACACCGCGCCCCCCACCCCAGGCCCTCACTGTGCTCTGGGCTTGTCCTCCGTGGCCCTCGCTCAGCTGCGGTTTCACAGTGGCCCATGTGTGTATGTGTTCGGTGCCACACTTGCAAGATCCCCCAGAGCAGAGTCGGTGTGCGTCCCCTTCAGCCCTGCAGCCCCGGGGCCTCCCTGAGTGTCGGACCGCAGTAGTCGGCCCAGGACACAGCCACTGGCCAGATGACTCAAGGTGAACAGACCCTCTCCACAAGCAAGGACAGGGGGTGTCTTGCATGGACCTCACATGCCATTCACGTGGGACTTCAGGGCCAACTAGCAGGTGGCCTGTAGCTGGGGGTGGCTGCCGGCTGCTGGGACGGTATCCCCGGGCCTGGCTGAGGCCTCCTCCCCGTCTTCATCTTGTCACAGAGACTGGCCTACGGCATCACCCCGGAGAACGAGCATCACCTGGTGGCCCAGAGGGACGTCAGGCAGTTCCAAGTAGGTGCAGGCTGGAACGTTCCGGGCGGGGACCAGGCCCTAGCTGCTCCCCACTGCGTGCTGGCCACATGCCCACACGCCACAAAACCCCAAGCGGCTGGGGGCTGTGTAGTCCCAGGGCTATGGTGTCAGGAAGGGAGGAGAGGGGCCTGTCCTCTGCGTCCACAGCTTCTGCCTGGCCCTCAGCTCCTCGGTCCTGGGAAGCCAATGTCCAGTCTTTCCTAAAGCTTTATTCTCTCTCTCTCTGGGTGGTCGCCATGCTAGGCTGGTGATCTCTTATCTTGGAGGAAGAGCTGCAGGTGCATCAGTAACACGTTGACCTAAGTCCTTTTCCCTTAAAATCCTTGGGGTTGGGGTTTGTTTTCAGACTTGCTGTGTGGCTTTGGGAGGCTTCTTGGCCCTTTTGGGGGCTAAGTGACAGGCAGGTAATCAGCCTGCATGTTCTCCGGGGTCTTCGGAGTGAGGGCTTGTGTCCTCTGCCCGCCCAGTGCTTCTTGCTGCCCTTGTCGGCTGGGGTCCCCGCCTGTCCCCGGCCGCGGCGTAGACACCTGTTCTCTTCCCTTGCAGCTACAGCACTGGCTGGCCATCTGACCCGGCCCCAGGGAGGAGCCCTGCCGCGCCCGCGTCCAGGTCCAAGGCTTCGCTACCACCCCGGACACAGTCTTGAAAATCCTCTCCTGAAAGATGTGTCTTTCCATCCCTCTTCCTCTTTCCCCAGTTACAAATGGTTTAGTGACCTGGTTTTTATTCACCTTCTGTTCATCGGGCCCGGGGGCTCTGAGTTTGGATTTGGAAAGCCTCAAGGGAGAAGAGGAGGGGAGGGAACAGGAAGAATGGCTTCTGTTGGACCTCTTTTGTTTGGGGAAGGTCTCACGCCGCTTGGGATCTGGCCCAAGCTGAGCTCCATGGCTCGGGTGGAATTCCCCACCACGGTTGCTTGTAGTTTGGGTCACAGAAGAAATCCTGTAGGCCGGTCAGAGAGGGGATGTTCCTTTTGGTCAGACGCCATAAAACCAAACACACACAAGAAGTCCGGCTGGGTCTGGGGCAGGGGATCCTCTTTCTCTTGCCACCCGGTCAGCGCTGTGGTATCTGAACCTTGGTCAGGGAGCTGGGGTTGGTTTGTCTCTGTCTTGGGTCTGTGGATAGATGCTTTGGGGGATCGTGAGCAGAAACCTTCACAGTCAGTTTTTACTCTGGCTAAGCTGAGTCTGATGTGTGTGTGTGTGTGTTCTGGAACATTCTTCCTGGGGAATCCCACCCAGCAAGGTCTCCCACCCAGCACGGTCCCCGGGCTCTTCAAGTGATGGGGGTAGCCCCGAAAACTCCCTTTGTCTCTCTTCATGGTCTGGACTTAGCACCTGAGGGCAGGGTGGGACCAAGTACAGAGCAACCTGGTCATTCAAGTCGAGGGGAGAATATTCTGAGTTGATGGAACCGGGTTGGTGGTTTTAGAGAATTTCCAGCTTGACTTCTGTTACACGTTCACGCGTGGCGCCCTCTGGTGGTGGTGGTTAGTTTCAGCTCCTTCAGAGAACGGATTTGTAGTTTGGTTAAGGTGGTGGCATCTATTTGGGGTTTCTGTTTATGGTTTGAGTCTCTTCTTATGTCCCTGCTGGAAATCGAGATTCAGAGGCTCTTGTTGTGACTGTGGAAGCCCCCGTTGAAGAATCTTGGGCCATAAGTAAATAAATAAAGAGGCCACTCATACTGGGAGTGTAGGAAGATACACATCCAGAAGGCGCTTTGCATAAACCTGGGGTGTCCCTGAGCCTGACCAACGGATCATGCGGTTTGTGGAAGAGAGTTATAAGGGGGCCAGCTGGGGACAGCGAGGTGGTTTTCTCTCTGACGGTCCTGAGATTTCCCTGCTAAGTCAGTGTCCGTGGGTCCTTTTTAGGAGAAAAGAGGGAAAATCAGAAGACTTTTGATCTTTTCGTGTAAAAAGGCCAGCTCTAAGTCTGCGACAGCCCAGGTGGCAGGTTCTTAGACCACTGTGGAAGGTGGGGCCTGGGAGTGGATAATCCAACGGAGTAGAACAGTAAGGTGGGGGTCTGGGTGATGAGGGCAGGGTGACCCATCTTGGGTGGGATCTGGTCCCGTGAAGGGTAATTCCTCCCTCGGTGTTACGCTTTTTTTCCACAAAGCGCTTTCATCCCTGTCACCTCCCGTCTTCCCAGCGAGGACGGTAGGGCCGGTCTCTGTCCCCATTTCCGAGATGGGAAGACCAAGGCCCAGCATTTCGGGCACTCTGGTTCAAGCACTGTCAGCTCCTAAGGGATCCAGTCAGACCCTCAGCTCAGATCCCCGGACTCTCAGCCCAGAGCACTCTGAAATCCCCGGCACACTAGGGTTTCCCACCACCCAGGGCTGTCATTAAAAATAAACAAAACCCAGTCGAACAGCCAGGTGGGGTCTCTTAGCAAAAGGACAATGTGTTGGAAGAAGGGGAGAGGGGAGAGGATGTCGTTTGGTCCCATCTAGCTAGTTGCCAGAGGAGCTCATTGAGCTGCCCCCTTTCTGATGAACACAGTCGCTCCGGGGAACAGCGGGGTGTGACCGCTGAGGCTGGCTGGCTGAAATGAGGGTGAACAGAAAAGCCTGTGCGTATCAGAACAGGGACACCCTACAGAAAGAACCTGCCATCCGCATGTGGCCTTTCTGCCTCTAGACATTTGACCCAAGGATGAATCAGAGATGCGGTGCTAGCTGATCCAACACCAAACCAACGCAATGGTGCTGCTTTGTGGGGGGAGTTGGCTCCTGAGCCTGGGGCGAGGGGCGAGGGCGGGCGTGGCCCCCCTCCCTGGGGGGGGGGACCCAGGAAGCCCTTGGAAGCCTTGGAGGTGCTGGCAGACACTCTGGGCTCACCTTCCACCCACACTTAGTGGAGGGGGAGTACGTCCCTGATCCTGAGTCACGCTTGACTTCTTTTTTGTGGCCTTTTTTTGATAGCAGAGGTTACCCAACATGAGGGTACTCCCTTGTACTGTATATGACACTTTTGCATTTTACCAGATTTTTAAAGGATTATTATTTTCCATGAAATGTAAAATATCGGTTTAAGACCACCGCGTTAACATCTGCTCAGTGTCCAGTGATTCCGTGTCCACCTGTGAGCGGGTCTTCATTCTAGATGCAGAGGACAGGACACAAAGGAGAGAGGGGAGCTGCCAACTCTCGCCAAATGTCCTGCTGAATACAAGTCCCCGAAGCTGCCTTAATTGTTGGACGGCGGCCCCGCCCAGGGCGGGGGGCGGGTTGGCTATCTCTGGGTGTAGGACCCGTTTCGCAGCCCTGGTGATGGGAGCCCGAAGCATTCTTACCAAAGAAGTCACTTCTTAGTAGAGAAGCCCGCTGAGCTCATTTCATTTGTTTATTTCCTTTGGAAGCCAGGGGATGGAGAAAAAGAGAGAAAAGCATTCCAAGTCACAGGGACCTGGGTCTGCAGCAGCCTCACTCGGCTCCTGGGGAGGGGGGAGCTTTATCTCTCGGGGCTTCGGGGTTCTTTGCACAAGCAAGGCTTGGATCCCATAATCGAAGGTCCCATCCAGTTAAAAAAATGTTCCTGTCTCCATGACCATGTTCTTGTGCTAGATGTACAGTGAGGGAAGCACATCGTTTACCGTAGGACTTTCCAGAACGATCTGGCGACCCGTAACCTGCGGAGTAGAACAATGTCCGATTTCTGGCCTCCAGAACGTGGATTTTTTTCTGGACATTCGGTAGTTCCTCCTTCTCTGGTATGTCTTCAATGGATGCCGGAAACACTGGGTATTTAAAAAAAAAAAAAATCCAGCCCTTTTGTTTTGAGGATGTTGAGGGTGACGCGTGTCATGCCCTTGTGAGCCCCAGGATCCGCAGCTGTGCGGGCGTCCGCGTCGTTACTGCCGCCAAAGACACTGGTAAATGTGAAGTTGCTTTTGGGGTACCCGCCCTCGTCCCTCTGCTTCTCCACTTCTATGTAAATAAGGATGGTTCCAGTGGTGCCCTTTCTGTGTCATGGACTGTGCCAATGTCATGCTGGTTTCTCTGTCTGGTGTGGATTTATTTTAAAAGCTGTTCTCTTCGTGGAAAAATAAGTGTACAGAGTAATAAAGGATATTTCCTGTGCCACGAATCTGGTGGTTGGGTTCTTTCTTCCACGAAGGTAAAACGCTATGAATTGCGTAAGGCAAAGGGGTGTGTCTGCGATCAGCCTCCAGCTGGTAAAGAAGAGCCTCTGGTCATAGTGGTCCACTTCTCACCTAGATAACTCTTTGTATAACCCATGGAACAGGAGACTAGAAGTGGTGAAATCTGTAATTCCAGCTCTGAGAATGACACATATTTTTTTAAATTTTTTATTTGTTTATTTTTTAAAATTCAAACTACTTACTAAAATAGCTACATTGGGGGCGCCTGGGTGGCTCAGTTGGTTAAGCGACTGCCTTCGGCTCAGGTCATGATCCCGGAGTCCCGGGATCGAGTCCCACATCAGGCTTCCTGCTCGGCAGGGAGTCTGCTTCTCCCTCTGACCCTCCTCCCTCTCATGCTCTCT